TTCTGTGATTCTGTGATTCTGTGAAAGGCTGGAAAAGACCCTTAAGATCACCAACCCAACACCATCATCCCACTACAACATGTTCCGAAGTGCTATATCTACACGTTTTTTTAACACCTCCAGTGATGGGGACTCCACCACTTCCCTGGGCAGCCTGTTCCAATGCTTGACCACTTTCAGTAAAGAAATTTTTCCTAATATCCAATCTAAACCTCCCCTGGCCCAATGTGAGGCCATTTCCTCTTGTCCTATCACCTGTAACTTGGGAGAAGAGACCAACACCTACCTCACTACCCCTTCTTTCAGGTAGTTGTAGAGAATGCTAAGGTCTCCCCTCAGCCTTGTCTTCTCCAGGCTATACAACCACAACCCCAGTTCTCTCAGCTGCTTCCCATAACACTTGTTCTCCAGACTCTTCACCAGATTCATTGCCCTTCTCTGGACACACTCCAGTGCCTCAATGTCCTTCTTGTAGTGAGGTGCCCAAAACTGAACACAGTAGTCAAGGTGTGGCTTCACCAGTGCCAGGTAGAGGGGAATGATCACTTTCCTAGTTCTGCTGGCCAGACTATTCCTGATGCAGGCCAGAATGCTGTTGGCCTTCTTGGCCACCCAGGCACACTGCTGGCTCATGTTCCGTCAACTGTCAACCAGCTATCAGGAGCTAACAGTGCCAGCCTGAGATGGTACTAGACAAAACTAAAACTGCTACACCTGCACACACACCACGGTGAGGTTTAACTACAAGTCAGTCACTTTATGCTATGAATACTGATAGCTCTTCCAAGCCCACTGAGCTCTCCTGTACAGCAGCAGACTGCACAGAGGTCATCTCCCCTTAAGCAGGTAAGGGAGACCTCTCAAGGTTACCCTTCAGTGTTGAGACAATCCTTACCCAGCACCTGATGACTGTAACACGGTAAGTGACATTTTACATTAAGCCTAAAAATATATTGTATGCTAGTGACACAAATATATATCAAGCTATAGCTTAATTATTAAAAGTGTAGTAACTAGTAGAGTGTTTGCCACCTAATTACCGATTATTGTTAAAATAATTGTTAAATCACTGTTCGCTACCAATGATCAATTAATTATAATTTGATCATTTAATATAAAACCATTTAGTTAATCCCATAACAATGACTTTTCTTAACAATTCACCTGTGACAAAAATTAGTGTAGTAGGCAGGATGGCTGACTCAATCACTGAACACTTAAAGAGGCAGAGTTAACCCTTCACTGAAATTTTCAGATGATGGTGTGAAAAGCAGTATAAATGAAGTAAGATAAAAGAACAGTTGAACCTTGGGAGAGAAAAGCTGAAAGATGGTAAAGAGAAGGTATTAATAAGACACAAGATGTACACAAGAGGTATTGAGCAATATATATATTAGAAATATAATCGTATATAAGAGGTATTTAGCAGCTGCTTATCAGTGTAATGAATGTGAAAAATAAGAAATGAGAATGTTGGAAGATGAGGCTGAACAAAGCAAGCTTAACTGGAGGGGAGACCTCATTCATGTTTATAAATATTTAAAGGGTGAGTGTCACAAGGATGGAGCCAGGCTCTTCTCGGTGACAAACAATGATAGGACAAGGGGTAATGAACACAAGCTGGAACACAGGAGGTTCCACTTAAATTTGAGAAGAAACTTCTTCTCAGTGAGGGTGACAGAGCACTGGACCAGGCTGCCCAGAGAGGTTGTCGAGTCTCCTTCTCTGGAGACATTCAAAACCCGCCTGGACGCCTTCCTGTGCAACCTCATCTAGGTGTTCCTGCTCCGGCAGGGGGATTGGACTAGATGATCTTTTGAGGTCCCTTCCAATCCCTAACGTTCTGTGGTTCTGTGTGAGATCATATTATGCAAGAATAATATGATGGCTTTCAGGGACCAGGAGTGACTTTGAACAAGGGACCAGTCCCTTCCATTACCTGCCAACCAGCATACTGGGCAGGAGGCATAGACCCTCAAGATAGAGGGGAACCCACTGCTATACCAGCAAGATTAAGTGAACTTTTTACTGCCGTTACAAAAGAAGCCTGCCTTCAGGCTATGAACAACACAGGTGTGCATGGTGATTACCCTATCTCTGCCTCAAAACCATGAAATCACTAATAACAGGAGGCCCAGCTGTTTTAAAATTTTACCTCATTGCAAAGGGGATGAAAAAAGACAAAATATAGAGCATAACGCTCAAGAGGATCAGGATAGTCAGCCCTGCCTTCGACCCATCCCAATCTGGGCAGACTTGATGCATGGCATTGTAAATCATCATTGAGTCACAGGGTGGAAGAACTGACACCAGTAGGGCAATCCCAAGCTGACACAGACAGCAGACAGACCTGACAGTAAGACAGGCTCCCCAGAACCCACAATGCTTTTCCCGATGGTGCTCTCATGAAGGTGATAATCATTCCATTGCAAGGCCATTTTCTTTCTTCTTCACTCCATTAATTTTGCACTCCTTACTAAAGAGTTCTCAAACTTCAAAGAGAAGAAAATATCTTCCTACAAATTCTCACTGTTAAGAAATTATCTTGAGAGTGGTCTATTTCTAATTCTCGTCTTTAGAACAGCAATGAACTTCAGTGGGCAGAGTAGATAATAGCATAATGGTTACTTTAGGAGACAGGCACTGACACCATTACCATTCTTTACCATTTTTAATGAGGGTATAGTAAGTCTCATCTCACTTGGGGTGGAGTGGGAGAGTACTAGTCCTTAGGACAGAATTATGGGCTCTGAACCACAAATGTAGAGGTATTTTTCAATCCCAAAACAGGAATCTATATCCTAGAGAGGGGAGGGCTTTAGGATACAACCCTGCAACTGACACTTCCTTATTGCTTATGTCTACATAATCTCTTCTTGTGCATAGGCTTTCTGAAGCACTGCTCTGATAGTCCCTACTGTCCCCTTCAGCTCTATCTTAGACACTTAGCCTTAAATGATAATCTCTGATTTTCATTCAAGGGAGTAATAAATTTAGAGACAAACAAGACTGAAGCTCGTTTTCCACTGTAAACTCAAGCAAAGCTCTCCATGCTCTACCAAACACCTATAGAACTATACAGTAGAACCAGTTTATGCTTGGCATAACATTAGCACAATGAGGAAAAGAGTGGGGCTTAATTTATATGGCCAGCTATGTTCTGCTGATTCTGGTATAAATGTCATCAGATTGTATCACAATCTCAAAGACACTGGACTGTGGGTGAGAACTGCGTTATGGGAGAAAAATCACTGCTCTCCTTACCCCTATCCTCAGTCTGTGCCGCTCTTACAACAGGAGGAAAGAAGGTAAAAAGCTGATCCTGCAGCCTTAGACTTCTCTAGCAGTAATTTCCAACTGCTGAACAGACATATTATACCTAATCTAGGCTAAAGACATCATGGAAAGGGATGTGCTCATCAATCCCGATTCTTAAGGGTTTTTTTTTTTTTTTTTACACAACTTTTTTTTAGTCTCTGTTTTTTGAAACACACATTTCTGAAAAAGCGGGTACTCTGTCTTACCCTGAGATGCCTTTCCATTTGAGCAGTATCTCTCAATTGCTTCTTTAATGTTATGGCTACTCTCGAGAAGTTCATACAGTGCCTATAAAACATAAAAAGTCTTTAGAAAGACTCAAAAGTTTGCAAATATTCAATCTAGACAACTAAAAATAACCTTTCAGTGAGCATATCTAATGTAAAAAAGGAGGATTTATCTTCAGACATTATGAAAATTTTAAAAGAGCAACCAAAAAGCAAAACCATATCCAAAAGATGAGGGAAGATTTAATTAGGAAAATGTAAAACATTATATGTAATTATTTAGAAAGCTGGATTTGTCAACAGCATGGTAATTGGAAACATCACAGATCACAACACTGCCAAGAATCAAATACTTTCAATTTTAAGCATGTGCTTAAAATTCAAAATAAGACTGAAAAGAATAACAATTTAATTAAATAAAAGAAACTTGAGTATTGCTGCCTTTATAATAAAAGAAAGAGAGAAACATGAGAAGAGAAAGAGAACACATGTTAATTACAAATCAATGTGTCACAAATGGAACAGGATATAAAACATACTTGTTCATTGTCCCGTGTTTGTAGTCCTTCAGGAATTCTGCCAATCATTTTTTCATTTCCTGTTCTTAAGAAGGTTTCAAAAAGGTATTCTTTAACTTTACTTTCTGAGATCACATCAGGTTTCCAAAGTAAATGGTCTTCATTTTCGTAGACTGTTAAAATAGAAATGCATTAACACCAGGTGTGACATTTTTAAGGTTGTAACATTAAAAGCTACTTCACAAAGACAAAGAAAAGAAACACAGAAGTAATCAAATCAAGCACCATCACGACACTCCTAAATTGCAGGTCACTTTTTCCCCAAAAGTCTCAGTCAAGAGACACACTCTGCAGTGTGACATGGCAAAAAGATTCAGGGTCCATGAGAATGAGATAAGGGACTCAACTCTTGAGACGTAGAGTCTTTACAGAAGAGCTGCTTATTGACAGGTAGATGATTCAAGTCAAATTATGCGTATGTATTTGTCATCTTCATATAAACAAACCAACAAAACTATTCATAGTTTTACTCAGCCATTAAAAAAAATAAACTATAGTTTACAGTAAGAGAGTGTAGGGTATTACTGTAATATTTCAAATATTAAATGTAAAAAAGAGGAGGTGGTTAATCGCTCATTTTCAACTAAAATGTGCCAAAAATTACTTAACAGAATAGAAATCTAGATCTCGATGTGGTAATTTGTTTCTTTCACTCACTAACAACTGAATGCTGTTAAGTAATTTTATGTTGCATATTCCACAAGCAACTGGGATGTATAATCTTCCTTCACAGTACACTGAAATCATGTATGCTCCTCTTAAGCAGCTTATTTGAAAAACAATACACTAGAAATAAGAGTGTAAGGTTTATAGCGGAGAACTGCCTCTAGCACGATTCTTGTGGCTGGGATTACACAGCAGGAAGAGAAGCCCTCATTTGCCATCACAAGCTCTTCAGGACGTACAGAAGAGGCCTTCACAGAATCCTCCACTCCTGCAGCCAGGTCCAACCTCTGTGAGCAGTGCTGATGCTCAGCTTCGACCTCCTTTATCAGCCAAGCCACAGCAGCACTTCTTGCTGGAGTCCATGGCTGATAACTTCAAGAGGCGCTCCTTGAGCTCTCTGACCTGTGTGCTATCATTTTGCTCTTGGCCGTGCCAGCAGACAAGACTCTCACTGGTTCTCTCTAGCACCAGAGAAAGTTGTCAGATTAACCCCTTTCTGGTCATTCACGGGTTATTGGCCCTTCTCTAGTTCTTGGCTGAAGAGAAGTCAAGATGTGTAAATAGTAAAAGGACTATACAGATAAACCCAGTTCTTACTCCTCCATTTCTTACAATCCATAAGCATCTTGCTTGAATCTTAGAAAATAGGTGACATCCCTAGGTCTTTCAAGCAACACAACAGATATTCACTTGCTAATGCTTCCAGCTCCATCCATACCAAACATTCTTCTCTACTGCAAAGGATCATTCTTCAAAAAAGCAGTTGGTTACAGCGAAGACTTAATTTACTTCACTAGAGTAATATTCCCGTGAAATGTTACAGTTCTAACACAAATAACTTGCAGAATACTGAAATTTACAAAAAAAACCAGAATGACCTTTATTTATTAACATAGCCTCCAAACTGTTTCTTAACTACACTGCTGTTCCAGCCATAAGCAAATTTCTCCCCTTATTTGCGTTTTGAATAGCTACATGTGCTATTCTTTTCTCATAGTGAAGGTTTCTAAAAGATACCAAATAAGACTCAATTTAATGAGTTCTTTTTTTCTACTCTAGGACAATTGCAGTTTTTAACTGAAATTTACACTGGAATAACATCCTACTTAAAACATCGTATTTTTTAGAAGATAGCATGTCAGGACCTACATCTTCTGCCCAAACGATGGAAATTTAAAATAGTTTATTGCTTTGTTTTCTATATTCATTTTGTAACCCACACTTGTGCTTGCCAGAAGACAAGCAAAGAAAAATACTGTTTTGAAGGTCTTCAATGTAAACTAAGTTACATGCTCATAGCCCAGTTATGATACTGCTTGACCCACACTCTGTTGGCTCTCAATATTACTAGATAATTCAGAATTAACACTGTAATCCAGCCTTCAATGTTTTACTGAGAATGCCTCCTCAAAGTTGAAGAATCACATTTCTGAAATATAATTATATGGTTGTGTTACTTCAGTTTTCTAGGCTTGGGGTTCTTTGTTTGGTTGTTTGGGTTTTTTATGATCTCTGAGACCTTAAGCCATTGCATTTACCTTACCAACTTAAATAACATTTTCCCATCAACTGCTATGTATAAACATAAAATAAAAAGTAAAACAGTCAGAACTTACCCTTTTCATCATCACTGTATTTGCCAAGGTAAGGTGGAATTTCAGCCTGGTACTGTGAACCCACCATTATTTCCTGAAGATGTAACAAAAATGAAAACAGAAAGGTATCAACTTAATATTTTGTATATGGAGGCATTAAAAATGCCATTAACCTGGCATTTGGCAGAGAATTCCAAAATTAGGGTACTATTTTAGATACATGCTATTAATTTTAATGCATTTTCTTAACAGTAAAGATTATTTATAAACTTTTTTTTAAGGTATATCTATTACCTTTCTCAGATCTTCAGACGAATTACCGTTGTCTGCCTCTACATCTTCACCATCTGATTCTTTGTCTCCATCACATGTAGTGTTTGCTTCAGACACAAAGAAGTTTGTTTTTAGCTAGGAAGAATTTTCAGTTCAAACACAGAGCTACAAGATACCCTTTACTTTTGAAAGGAGCACCTGTTTTTATTCTGGGAGACACTTATCATGAGTCTGTTGATCTACATTTCTATCAAAAGTTTGTTAAAACTACATTTCTATCAAACAAACATGAGGGCAGAAGGCATTGGTACTTGGGTACTGTAGAACTGAAACATTTATTACCACTGTAACTGAGGCAATCTACTGTATTTCTAACAGTCAAAAGGAAATTAGATCACTTTTCTTCATCAGCTCTCTCCAATAAACATTATACCTTACACAAAAGGCATAAGGAAAAACGGAAAACTTCCAGGGCTGGGACTCAGTCTCAGGTGAATCACAAAGAAAGTAAAGTTGAAGGCATGTCTTTGTTACCCACTAAAGTCTTTCATCAGAAGTTTTAATGGGTGTTCAACGCATTCCTTTGGACAAAGCTGCCTCAGCATGCAGTAAAGATACAGGAGAGATACACAAAATGGAACAAGCAAAAGACAGCAAAGACTGCTTATTATTCCTCTTTAGTAATTTTTTTTCCTTACAAAGGAATACAGCAGTGCATTTCAAGGAACTCAAATACAGAACTCCATAGAAGAACTTGTATTTTAGAATCTGGAATACTGTGTCTGGGTTTGAAGTAATTCTCTTTTTATAGCTGTATAATCCCCAGCAGAATGGAATCTACCGTTCTGACACAATTAAAGCTATTCTGTATTCTCAAACTTCAGAAACAACATGCATATAACTAGGGTTGCACATTTAGCTGCATCACAACTAAACAGAATTGTCAACATTAGAGACAATATCCAAGACTCTGTGGACTGAGGCTCTGCTTCTGTAATCATGACTACAATCACCAGTCTATCTCTTTTGTTGTTAGAAGTAGCAAGAAGCTACCATGAATGCATGAAATAACAGTATGCCTGGATAATCCCAGGCAATTATTTTTTCCAATTAATGCAAATTTAATAAAATAGCCTATATTGTATATCAGACATGTTTATCTTAAAATTTAGTGTTATCTTAGTCTGAGAAATGGAGAGATCAGAAAAAAAAGACGAAACTGCCAACAGCAGAGAGAACTGTCACCTCCCTCCCTGAAATGGTGGATCCTCGATTTTAAAATGTCCAGCCAAAAGTTCTAATAGAGAAAGTAACATTCTGATAGAAAACTGTGATAGCTGAAAACAAAGATGACTGTTTCTTAATCCTCAGTAAGATCAGGGACTAATCACGTTTTCTATAACACTACCACACTTTCAGTGTCACATTCATTAACAGTTCACAAGCAATGCTAAAGTGCTAGGTGCTTGCTTAACTGAAGAAAGGACATAATATTTTTAAAGGTTTTTTATATTTTTCTTTCAATACAAATGTCTTGTATTCATCACAATCAGCAGCATGCAAGGGGCTACAATTCCTGACGACTGAGGCAGCACACCGCCTTTCTCATTCCCCTTCTCTAGAGGGATGAAATGCCCTAGAAATAACTTAAAGATAGCTGCCAAATTAAAACTGTGATAAAAATCCTCCACATTGGTCTAACTCTAGTACAGCAGTGAACAAACAAGCTGTAACAGGCCATAAGGAATATATCTTGTCCAGGTTAGATAACTGAACCACTGGTTCTCAGATCTGTCCCATAATAGCTCCATGGATAGTGAAATTTTGGTAGTCATGGGTTCATAGGCCCCACCTCATAGAAAACTTTGGCTCACCCCATGAAGTCCTATGGAAATGTGTTGAATGTGTGAAGGGAAATAACCTCAAAGAAACTGCGTCCCAGTTCACATCCACAGGCTACATAGAGGAGTCACCGGCTTAAAAGCAGCACCAAAATTTTTTTAAGAGAAACACTAATTTAAAAGAATTGGTTACATATTCATATAATTCAGTAACACACTGAAAATCATGAAGGGTGTTCCTTGATACCACATCAATTATGAAATTGTGTCTATTTGTAGAGAAATTAAAATCAGGTTCCCTACATCTTAATGGCCGAGGAAAGAAGTCAGTAGCCTCATGTGAAGTAACCGATGGTGTCAAGTCATCAGCAGAGGACTGTGTTTCTTCATCATCACCTGACAAGAGGTCTTTAGCTATTTCCTCCTGTATCATTAAAATAAAACAATAAAACTTCAGACTGACTATGAAGTATAGACTGGTGAGCATTTAGATTCATCAAACTGTAAGTCTCATTAATTAAAATTAATTATTTTACCGTAAGTAAACTTAACAGACCATATTCCCTTAACTAAAAAGGTAGTTTGTTCCTCCTAAATCTAAGAACAAATACAACCATTCATTTCAGAGTTGAATACAGGGGTCTATCTCCCCTTTGTCTTTTATTAAAATAAATGCACAAGAGCTTCTGCAAGCATCAATCTCAGACGTTTCTCCAACTGCTTTCCATGAAAAATGACAGTAGAAATTGCCTCAAATAATCAGAATTCTGTCATTCTTTGCACCACAGATATACCAAACATTTAAAAGGCTGTTACCCATTAAACTCTAGGAAAACAAAACAAAACAAAAAACAGCCAAGCACTTTTGTAGACTTCTGCTGAGAGGACAGTTACAAATAATAGGCAACCTGTTATCTTCTCAAAACACAAAAAATGGTATTTCTGTAGGTTAAAAAAAGATATTAAGAAAGAAAAAGCACACTTTCTCCACTAGCAGGCATATTTGAAACCCTCTGTTACAGACG